GGACTCTTCTGCCTCTGCCTCCAGAGTTGCTGGGATTAGAGCTATTAGAGCTATCACACTGCTCAGAGCATTTTAAGAATAAAACATGTTTCAGTGATTATCAACATTCTCTAGGCTTAAGGAGAAGTCTATTTTAGAAATTTTTTAAAAAATGGTTTCAAGCATTGAAGAAATTCTTTGCAATCCCAAGTTGCCCTCTTTCTTGTTGGCTTCCCAGGGGATACATGGGTTGGGGTCTCTGTTAGCTCACATGCCCCCCCCCCACACACTGGTGCTGAGTGTGGCTTCAGCGCCTGTCAAGAAGCAAGGCCAGGAGGATGGCCCCGGCCCCTGGCTCCACCCGCATGCCAAACAAGCTCTTTCCTGTTTCCTGTGCTATGCCTCTGTGCAGGGTTCCCCTTCCTAACTTTCTGAGGAGAGAGGAACAAGGACGCTGACGTTTACTGAGCAGTGCCTTAGCTACTTTCTCAGTGCTGGGACAAAGTATCTGACACCCATAAGGTAAAGGAGGACAGGTTCATTTGGCTCACAGTTTGTAGGGGCTTCAGTCCACAGTGGGCTGGCTCCAAGGCGGGGCAGTCTACCAAAGGGGCCTGGCGGAGCAGAAACAGTCCACGGCAGGGCAGGCAGGAGGCAGCGAGACTTCTTTCTTCCTTCCCTTTTTAGCCTGTCCAGGCTACAAGCCTCCTGGAGAGCACCACCCACACCCAGGGTGGCTTTCCCTCTTCAGCAAATCCATCATCCATACTCAGAAAGAACTATGCTAAACCAACCCATACGTTAATTCAGTATCACACACCCCAGATCCAGCCACCTCCCAAAAGCACCACCCATGAGCACATGAGCTTTGGGAAGACATCTAGATAAAAGCCATGACATTCGGGAAATGCTGAGGTTCCTCAGCACTGGGTACTGGGGCTTTCTTCTCCTGCTACACTCAGCCCAGAGGAGGCAGAACAGAGTGGGAGAGTAGGCACAGAAAGTCAGGAGCCACGCTCCCTGGGTTCGAAGCCTGGCCCTGCCCCACAGGAGGGGACCTCAGGAGGGTGCCTGGGAAAGGAAGTAGCACAACCCCAACACCACGGTGCGTCTCCTCCGAGGCGCTGAGAACAAGCCGGAGCAGAGAACGTCCCTCTCGGGGTGCCCGTTCGCCTGCCCTGGGAGCTGGAATCCAATCCCACTGAGCCTGAGGACCCCCTGCTTGCTGAAGACCCCACTTTAGGTCTCCTCCAGGCTTTTTCTCCCAAGTTCCACCACCAACCTGACATCTCCAAATGTCTCAACAGTATTACGTCAAAACAAACTCTTGCTCTCTTCCTTCAAACCTGTCGCTCCGTCCACACTCGTCTTCAACGTCTCAGTGTGTATGTTATTTTCCCGATTAGAGCTGCCAAGACCCAGAAATGACTCGTAACTCCTCCCTTTCTCTTTCAGCAAGGCCAAGTCCCCCAAGTCCTGCCCCTTCCATCCACCTCCACGCCACCTACCATCCGGGTCAGCCCCTCTCGCTGGGCCCGGGAGACCAGACCTTGCCTCCAAAGACAGGTTCTCCGAGGCAAAGCGGAATCACGACCCTTCCGCTCAGCACCCGCAGGGCTCCCTCGCAGGGCGGGTCCTTCCTCCGCGCGTGCGGTTGGCTACGCCCTGCGTGCTTTCTCCTCCTCGCCGCCGGCCTGCACCCACCTGTGCTCCCGGGGGTCTCAGCTTTAAGGCCTCTTTCCCAGAGGCCTTTCCTGGTCTTCTCCAAAGTGAGTATTTCCCGACTTTGGGGTTTTGTTTCCCTATCTCAGCTGATTTTCCTTTCTTCCAATTCATTTAGTACAATACACACACACATTTTTAGAACACAAGTGGCACAGAGGTAGGGGCTAGAGTCTTGTTTATTTTAATCCCCCAGAATAACACCTGGTACAATAGGCACTCCGTAACTGGTAAATACAAATGAACTTATCGTGCAACTTTAGGCATATTATCTCATTTCTCTCCCCTGCAGACCCACTCAGGATACAGGGCTCTGAACCCAGGGCCTTCACACTGAGCTACATCCCCAGCTGTTTTTATTGATTTTGAGACAGGGCGTCCATAATTTATTCAGGCTGAGTTTGAACTTGTGACCTTCTTGCCCCTGCCTACCTGAGCGCTGGGATTACAGGTGTGAGACACCATGCCTGGCTTCATATACTCCGTACCATAACCAGATGAGGCTTGTAGTAGTCCCTTCGCAAAGATGAGGCAACTAAGGATGGGAAATACTAAGCGAGCACAGACACAGCTTCTGCAGCCAGCAGCAGGACTCAAACACGGGCCAGTACTGAAATGGCTGTCCTGTCGCCAGCCAGCAGCCCACCCCCCATTCCCAACCTGTGGACGAAACCTTGGCCTCCGTCCAGGTTCTGGCCCCTCTGCTGTCACCACAGGCCAGGTGCTGCTGGCACAGGACAGCCCCCCGAAGCAGCAGCTCAGCCCACCAGGACGTGCCAGCACGGAGGTTCAGCCCTTCGACAGAAAACCAAATGAGAGTGGGGTGCGCGGGAACGGGCGGCTGACAAGGAGAGGGGAGACCACTTTGTTGTCTTCGCCATCCCAGGCTGCCTTTTCATTCTGCCTCACAAGCAGCGCCGCCCTTCAGTCCCTGCACAGATGTCTCTGCCTGCGGGTGTCACGTGTATTTCTCACTCCTGCCGGAAACACAGTCCTCCCCAGGGCCCCTCCCAACTTCCCCCTTCTGATACGGAACACCATGTTCCTTACCAACAACAAGTAGCCATGGCAGGTGACAAACGGCAACTCACAACTGCTGTTTCAAGAGAAGATGAAAAGCTACAGCCAGCGAGAGGGGTGGGTTTACACCGTCCAGCACGGTCCAGCAGGACAGACACGCAGAGCATTCTTCCCTCTGCCACCTGCCCACCTGGGCCTTAGCTTACACAGTGTGGCTCAGCTCTCAGGATGGCTCCAAGGCGCCTGGTGACTGGTCCACAGCTAAACCTGAGAACCACATCCAGCCCAGGGCTCTCCTCGGACAGGTCCACGAAGCAGGCCTGGACAAAGCTAAATGCTTGCTCGGGTGACTAGTTTGAAACAGGCAGACTCAGGAAAAACAAGGTCTTGAAAGGTGCGGTTTTCAAACTGTGAGGTAAAACATTGGATGGTGGGGTCAATTCCATGGTTTATAAGCAGCGTTATGAAAAAGAACAGATCAGAGTACACCGCACAGGCTCAGAGTCAATCCTGCCCCGGGACACTTGCTTTAAATATTTGCATATACATGCAGCTTGGTCTCCTTTCTCCTCCCTCCCAGGCTCCAGGCCCCAAGAGGCAGACTCCAGGGAGAGTGTATCAAAGTCAGTGCCTGGCAAGGGAGGAGATTTGGGGAGCTGGGGGGGGGGGGGGCCTTGAAGCCACAGCCCCCATCCTGGAGGTAGTCCCTGGGCAGCTGCATGTCCTTGTGGGCTCCTTAAGCCTGCTCCTACTTTGCAAAAAGTCCATTTGTTAAATCCGTTTCGTTCCGGACACTGACATGCCGCACATCGACAGACTGGGAGACACTTGGACACAGCCATACAGACGCTAGTGGGCTGTTTTCAGAGGTGTGAGCAGTTTTAATGCACTGCTTATGTGGGCTGTGGTCAAAAAGCTTGAGAAACACTGTCAAGGTTCTTTCTACACCTCTGCCTCCTTCTGGCTGATGAACAGAAAGCAACCAGGTTGAAACTTCCAAAAATAAACATTTCAAGACCCCATTTATACAACTGTTAGCATTAAATAAGTAGTAAGAAAACCCTACACGATGATTAAAACAGATTTTCTAACAATGCTTCGCCCTGTCTAACAAAGGGAAGGACCACTTCGGAGACTTCTCAGCGTCCAGCGCAAATGGAAAAGAACCCCAGCCAGTTTCTAACGCCTTCAAATCTGTGTTTCTATCACAGTCCTTCACATCATAAGTTTCTTCCTAAACAGAAACGAAAGCACTGTGGTCAGAGCCTAATATTTATGGTTGTACTTGATCAGCCACAGATTAACTCCAGAACCGAGGAACACAACCGGTTCTCCACACCGAAGGCCAGAGCTACTGCAAAAGTCCACACGCGGGCCTCTCACCTCCTTCTGGGAGAGGAAAGAAAAGGAAAGGAGGCAGCTTTCGAAAATACGGAAACTGTTTCCTGCCTGGGTGGCTTTCTGATGCTCGGGCAGGGCGGGGCCTCGTGCGGGTCACCCCAGAGAAGTAGCCAGACTCTAGGTCCCTCCAGCAGCACACCCGCCTCTCCGGGCCCTGCGCCGGCCCGGAACGCCGGCAGCACAGGACGTCTGGGGCGCGAGGTGCTCATCCAGCCTCCGGACATCGGGTGACTACTGCCCGGAGCGGCGGGTATGCTCTCATTCACCACCTTCCAACGCCCGGGGCACCCAAGCAGAGGGCTACACCATCACATGGGCCCTGAACTGTATTTAGGAAGCATAGCCATTACCAAGTCCAAATATAAACGGTGCAATATAAGAAGATTCGAAAGAAACGCAACTATTAGAGGGAAAAATGCAAAAAAGCAATAGATATCCTATCATTAATCCATGATTTGTTACTGTTCCTCCATGATACAGTTTACTGCGAAGTGGTTACTGTTTCTGCTAGCCACTCAAAACATAAGCCTTTACTCTCTCACGAAATCTCAAGCCAGTATCACCCGCTTGCTTATTTCACAACTTGGAATCGGTGCGTGCGGACACGAGGCGCTTCCCCGTGCACGCCGACCCTGAGTCCCGCTCCCCAGCCCGGCCCGGGGAACGGAGAGCGGGGAGCGGGAGGAAAGGGTGCGCAGCCAGCACAGCTGAAGGCCCGCGCCTCCCTCTTCCTCCCCAAGGTGAACCTAGTCCGCACGCCAGCAGGCAGCACGCTCCACTTCCCGAGCGCCTCACCACGCTAGCGGCTGTTCGAGACCCAGCGCCTCCGGCGGGGGCCCAGGACCGAGCCCCACCCTGGGTTCAGGGAACGCGGGTACCCGGGGATGAGAAGCCAGCGCGGGCGGCATCGCCAGGAGTCACGCAGCTCGGAGCGCAGCTCGGTGGCACCCGGCAGGGCGCCCGGAGAGCCAGGCCCGCACCCGACGGCTGCCGCAGCGCGCCGCGCCCCGGACGCCGGCGGGACAAAGAGGCGGAAGAGCCCGGCTCCCGCGCTCAAACTTTCCCGCAGCCGCCACCGCCCGCCTCCCGCCTCAAGTTTGGCAACTCGGCCCCGCCCGCCCCGCCGAGCCGGGACGGCCGCGCGGGGCTCACCCAGCAGCGGCGTGGCCCAGCGCCGCCCGCGCCCCCGCCGC